ACACACACACACACACACCACCTCTGAACCAGAAAATTTAAATGTTTTCTTATTTGTTCAATGTTGTTAACGGATAAAGCTTATTTAACGCCCCTGAAACCATTTAGTCCCCCTAAAATTTTAGCTGGATCCGCCCTTGATGCTAGTTGCAGAATTTACATGCAATAAAATTTCAAAATGGCAGTATAATTAGTTGCATAATACTTACCCAGTTTTCACGTAAACTGGTAGTCCATCCGGATTAACGATGATTATCGTTGACAAAAAATGGGCCTTTTTATCACCCCGATAGTAGTTGGCTTGTCTGATACTTGGCCTCCATATTTTATGAATGGTACAGTCAATTGCTCCCAGAGCATTTGGGAAAGAGTCCCAAGAGTTTCGAAAACATAACCACTGTGCAACGTTGGGCCACCGCACATGGTCTCTTAATAGATACCAGATTATTGGCAGTATATGGTGAACTTCATCACTAACCGTTGAYACGCTAATTTCAAATAGGGCACACACTAGTTCTTCTCGGCAGTATTGCCTCAACCAGATCAGGGTCATAAGTAACCTGTTTCTTGGCGATAACAAGCAACCGCGTATGCGTCTTGGTTGACCTCTGTTTAATCTAGGGTCTCTAGGTAGGACTATTAACGGTTCGGCACGTAGGAACAAAGCTTRAAAAGTTTCGGGAGTTTCACCCGTTAGATGCCAGAAGAAAGGGCCTATATTGACAAGGTAAGACCATACATCTCGTCCTGTATTCCTGTGGCCAACAAAATTTGGGAACAGTCTTTCGATAACAGAAATTTCGTCCWGTTGATTTTYTGAGACAATAAGAAGCACCTGTAGCAAACTAAACCAAAGTATATTCTCAGCAGAATTTGAGGACGGAGTCAACAGAAGTGAAGCAAACCCTAGCATGGGTTGTGTTCTATATCGGGCTATCTGGCCATCTAACACACAACTTAATGTCAAGTGATACATGTATAGCCACGAAAGTAAAAGCAAACCATGCATCTTTATAATGTAGAATGAACGTCTTTGGATATAACACGTTTGTAAACACTTGATTACTAGGTTATTGTACCGAGAACAAAAGAAATGCACATTCCGTACAATTTTCTTGTCACTTATTGTTTTAGACTGCACGAAGTTCAAAAATAGTGTTAGAGCAAAAA